AGCTATGATATTCAGATTAACCCAAAAACCAACACCGAATAAGGAATAGTAGCATTGTAATTAATACCTATTGTACAATATAATTAATTGGTCGAGCCGTCTAACACATTGGTATTACTATTCTTAGGGTGATTACTCAGTTAAAAGTAATTGGTTTAAGTATTGGTTATTCAAATGAACACTTGTTAATATTAATTGGTTTAACTATTGGTTGTATAGAGAGTAGTGAACTTAACCAATTTGTTTCTTGGTTAATTTGATCGGGTTTAGCACTTCCTTAAAGTTTACTTAGATGTTTTAGTTATAGCATCAAACAAATATGAACTATATGAACAAAAGTGAGAAACATTATTTTTTAAGTCTGTTTGAGTTAGGTAGGAACGTAAATACGTTTTTGTTGTTTGAGCGCAGGTCTTCTGTTCTGAAGTGATCAGGGTTCAAATCCCGTTAAACACGAATTACTTTTAGGTATGATTAGGTATGGCCGAGTGGTTCAGAGCCCATTTTCTGTAATCTGGAAACAGAAAAAGTATATGTCTTTCTCTCCACTAACATAAATATGATACTACATGGTATACAAGATTGAACCTTAACACAGCAAATGGTTATACTTCAAACAGCCGTGGCACCTGACGGATTAGGAGACCCCATGGAAACCCTTGGGGCCTCCTAATCCCTCAGGTGCCACGGCTTTTTGAGCGCACTATAAACAAATGTTTGAATTTTTCATATATAGTTATAAAGGTCCATTTTAAGTACTATATTACTCATCAATATCTACTATAGCGCTATGCGATTAGGTTTGAAAACAAGATGGCGTGCATTGCGAGTTCATTAGTTGCAATTGCACTTGCAGATGAAGACCTGTAGGTGTGTACCTGTCCGACTTATCAGTTAAGATAACTAGTGTAATGGGCAGTTGCGCACAACGCTTGCGCGCTGCATACGTACTAGCATGTCGCATGCGCTTCATACACTCACACATGAATGTTATGCAATCAGTCATTGCATAACTATAGACACGTGGACTGTGTGATTGACAACACTTAAGGGATTTAAATCGGAATTTGGATTAAACTATCATTTCAACGCTGCATTATGGGTTGTGCCTTTAAAAGTGTGTAGTCTGTTTTCTATTCGAATACATAATAAGTTCTAACAAAAATAATTTTTTTACAATTTAATTGCGGAGTATTGGATACCGATTTTGCTATTTCTAAGTTAGCAGTTATTGGTTAATTTGCTAATTTGAAACGTTTCTATCGTGCTATAGACAGGCATTTTGTATTTAAAATTATTTCAAAAATTATTTTTGAAATTAGACTCCTTTCATCTCCATGGTCATGATCACCCAAATGTTTTAGATGATTACAATTTAACTTCATCATCAAGGGTGGTTTTTATTTCTATTCAAAATAAACTTTTTTCAGAGACTATTATCAAACAATATACAAAACGCAATCATTTCAAAAACCAAAAAGAGGTAAAATTTATGTTTCGAAATTTATGTTTATCAGTTGCAGGTGGATGGTTCTGACATAAATTCAAACTAAAGCATTTTAGAGCCTAATACCAATTCATAATAGCAATACACTAATTTTAGTGGTTTCTAAGACCAATACGCTAATTAAATCTGTAATCTTACACATCCTTGAAACTTCATACTGTACTTTGGATTGTATGTATACCTTTTGACATTTCCTTGGATTTTAGAAGCAATGTTTTTTGTTAGACCAAGATTAAGAAGATTCCCTATGATTTAGTTCCAGCCGTTACCTCAAGGAGACAGGGTCGCTGTGTCGATTGTTGTATGGTTTATGTAGTTTGTTCCCCAGTAACCCTATTCCAGAGTCAGTAACCTGTTCCTACCCTCAGAACTGGTCAGACTCGGGGGAGGAAACAAGTGGGTGTCTGCGACCCTGGAATTTCTCACCATTTAAATAAATTTAAATAAAAATTGGGGCCCTCAAGTAGGCTAATGCGAAGCGGCATATAGGCCATGAGAAGCTCTCGGAGAGAGATAAATCCAATAATTAATGGATAGCATCAACTCAAGTGGAAATTATTGCATTTTCTTGGAGATTTTTTATTTGAGGAAAATGAATAAAAATATCAGTCACTTTATAAAAATCATAGTGCAAATTTATATTTATACAAGACAATGTATTTTGTAAAAACTTATTGTTTTTCGCCAGTTTTTATTGCTGAAAATCGAAAATAGATCCAGTAAACACTTTTTAGCCTATGGATTATTCCAAAACTAATATAACTTTTTCACGAAAATCGTTATGGGCACGTATAAAATAAAACCATAGAAATGAGGTTCGCATTAGTAGCTAAATATTCTTCGCGTTTTAACCAGCAACGAATAAAAGTGTATAGCTGGACTGAACTCTGCTAGCTATATTACAAACAATATCCAGGTTAAATGTTTGAATAAATTTCACAAGTCCATTTTAAAGCTAATCATAGCACCAAGTTTTAGCTAGTTTCCACCGTGACGTATCGTGACTCACAGCAGCTGGTAGTCAGGTGTTGTGGTGTGTTTGTGACTGATGTGGGTCCAGTAGTGCACGATCTGACCCCAGCCCAGCAGCCCAGGCCAGGCCCAGGCGTGTAATTATGCTGGATACGTGGCCCTAGTTACTTAGCGCTCCTAGCAAACTTGGCTGCGTGGCTTGGTTGGCTCACTTCTCAATTGGTCATTTCATTAGTTAATTAAGACAAAGTGGGTTTGAAAATATCAATATAATAGCTTAAAAAAATTTCCAAAGAATTGGAAACTTTTCCTAGCATAGTTAATAGTACTTTTTTGAAGGGTGCAAAACTTCTTGAGTTTATTTATTTGAAGATGTAGGTTTTTGTTGAGTAGTGTGTGTAGTCTTTGATTCCACCAGTCATTGCTGAACAAAACCCTTTTAAATTTGGGATTTTCAACCGAATAAGGGAATAAGGGACCTATGATTAAAAATACTGTTCATTCAAATATCCTAAACAACTATTTATAGGGTCGTGAATAAAATAAATTGTACTTAAGTTGTTTAATTGCATTGTCAAACTTGTGTGTAAGTAAGATGACGGTTCCTTATACCTGTATGTCCGTATACATGCTCAAAATAATATCAATACGGCACAATTTAGCAATTTATTTTTGAATTTCATTCGTTCCAAAACAAGATTTTTTGCTTTAATAACTTCTCTTGTCTCTATAGTTGTTTTGCTGTCCCAAATCGCAATGTTTAGAACCTCCTGAAAAATATTTAGCTAGAAAATCGTGAAAATGCTAACTACAGTGGTATATCAAGGGAACCAGGTTGATTAGTCGTTGAAATTCTTCCATGTAGTTGGAGAGATATCACAAATCTGTAATTACAGCAACAGGAAGTGTACGGAGTGGTCTATCGGCCGCTGTGGCAGAGCCCTAGGAGAGTGTCGGACACTTGATAGTGTGAAACATTAGAGTCCAGAGAACAGCCTTGGGACCGCTTCTCGTCCTCCTGTCCGCCCCAAATACGCGTCTGTGCCTGCAATGGCTTAACATACTCAAAGTCTGCTATAACGCTTAAACACCATCCTGAAGATACAGATGTCGAAACCAACCATTCTAGTTTGGTTCGTACAGGCTGATAAGTCCTAACACGAAAGGATTTGTCATTTTGCAATATGTGAAAAACGCTAGTTTTTTCTTGCAAGTTACTCGATTTTATAAACTTATTTTTCACCAATTGGTTCTTTGTATTGTGTTAAAAATTTTAAAAGGGGTTGATGGTGTAGCATTCCCTTTCGATAGTTTATTATTTTATTATTTACCTCCAATAATGAAGTCTAAAGGTTGTGTCAATTAAAACTCACCATATTTAATCGTAATACAACAATCTCTCATAATTTTACTAAATTTTCCCCTTAACTCACTTGTATATAGTGGCAGGAATACCGTCAAATGTTATACGTATTTCCAAGTTTCTTCAGCACGTCTAGTTTATACCGTAGACTCGCACTATCACTCACGACTATCACAAGGCACTAATCCCTGCCTCACTATCACCCACCTTGCACCAAATTATCATAATTGTCCTCCGGTATTTTGGAACCCAAATATTTAAATAAAGATTCTATCTTTGGCTCAAGGGCGCCCACATAGACTGACAACGTAAATGAATTCCCCGCGCCAAATAAAATAACGATAAAGTTTTATGGGATCTTGATGCATATTGTTTAGAATTTTGTAACCATGTCGGTTTTGTAAAACATTATAATAGCCGATGTTGAGTAGGTTTGGGGATTTTTCTTCCTTCATCTGTCTTTGCAGTAAAACACTAACATTTTATGTTTGAAGCAATCTATGACAGATTAAATTTACGAAGCAGCCTTTTACATTACTTTGTGTATGTTTGAAATATCTCAGTACAAAACTACAGTACGTATCAGTAGTTGAAGGGAGGCTTAAAGTTTAAAACATATACGCCGAAGAATAAAAAATCTATATACATAGAAATAACATAGTACAAAAAAATAAAATAAATTTCCAGAAGAAATCAATTACCAGAAAATAAAGTAATCGTACGAAACTATATGTCGGGAAACGAAATTGTACTTGAGTCATTCTATGGTTTTGCTATATTCTTCAAAAACCCAAAATTTCCTCTTATAATTGTGTTTACTATCTTTTAAATCTATGATTCTGTTTATGATATTTTAAAAGAAAATGTTACCATGTTTTTTGTTTAATTCATCGCGTAAAAGTTAATTAATTGATCTTTAAGATTTCCTCTTTGCACTAGCCATACTAACAAGCAGATTTAACATTTCAAACATAATTCTCATTTTATTTGAGTTTGGTAACCCAGTCCAGCCAATTTAAGTTTAAGACTCCCTTAATTTAAATACTAACATAATAATGCTATTTTCAACAAAATTCCCCAAAGTTCTATATCTGAGTTTGATGTTTGGCAACCCAGCCTGTACCCAACTTGTAGTGATTATAGTTGGGCTGGTTTCAGATGGCGGGCAGTCACCCCCACCACCACTCCGCGCACACGCACAACCACGCGCACTCTATGTACAACCATGAGAAGATGCAGAGGCCTTTGCTCAACTCCCAAGTACGGCAAATCTCACTTACACTAACACATTAACGTAGTCTAGCTGCCTGCCCGCTTGTATGCTAACGCTAACGTACAGTAGACAACCTTTTGCTAACCATAGATGAAGTGTAGAAGATATAACATGTGTGAGTCCTTTTTCAGTTGAGACTGTGGGGGATGTTTAGTTTTTGCCTAGTGCTATGAACACTTACTACGTTCTCTACGTTCGTAGATGATCTTGAAACCATTGATGAAATGTGGGAATAATACAAATACAGTATGTGTGATTTATTGAATGCTCAGTATAGGTCCAATAGAAAAGTTGTAGAACATGTAATGTTTGTACGGAACAAATGGAGCAAACATTGTTGGTTTCGGTTGCACAGATGTTTGGACAAACAGATTTTTTAATACCGTATGTATTTTTTCATCTTCATGCTC